AAAAAATAAAAAAATCTGACTAGTCTATAAATTTCTAAAAATTATAATAAAAGTATAATTTAATTTGGTCAGGAATATATTTCAGTGTACTGATTTTGTGCAGATGTCTGTGTGTTCAGTGTACTTGTTTAGGTATTTGTATGTTATCCTATGAATAGCTGTTTTTCTTTTTATTTGAGCTTTGAGATATAGCCTTAAATGCATGTTCTTTCCTAAGTTACCAGCTGGTCTAAGTGATATAAAAACTGGTTTACTCATAGTTCACCAAAAAATTTAAGTGAATTAAACAAGATTTGTTGGAGTAGGGAGAGACTGTTGGACAGAACTACCAACTGGTGAATAGAGGGGTGGCCAACCTTTGTTACTAAGGAGCTCCTAGTAATCTCAATCATCTCTTGGAACACATTCCAATTTTTGGGCTACTAATCAAACGATAAAGTTTTTCAGAAAAAATTACAATAAGGTTTTCTTATAAAAGATGCTCTTGGTACAAACCTAAATTAAGAAACAAAGGTTTTCACATGTGTATGGTAATTCATTATTGTTAACCTCATAATACATGATATGTATTCATGATTCCAAATGTACAGCTCTTCCAAAGTATAAAACAAAGATTGTTTATTGTGATAAAACTTTCAGACCTCTGCCTTTAACAAAAAAACTTACAATGTATATCCCATTAAGGAACAAAAAATTAGTAAAACTTCTTAGATATGATTGGTTAAAAGGATTATGTTGTCAAAACGTAAATTTAAGTACATCACAAAATATCAGCAGATGGTCATGCTACAAGTTGTATATGGTTTTGATTTCTAAATTTCTATGTAAAAATATGTAACAGTTGTCTTTTAATAGTCTATAGAGATTTAAATATTAGCATATCCATGGTTGATAAAAAAAAGTTTTGTTTTATGTCTAAGATTTTGATATTCAAATAGACAGTGATGTTAAGCATTCAGCCTCCATTACAGGCTAATGTCATTAAGCTTCTCTTCTGGATGTTCAAAAATCGAGGTTTAGAGACCAAAAATTTGACAGATGAGCCTAGAGTACAACCAACATTTTGGCCCTAGACCTCCAAGGTCAATGAGGACTCAGGACATAAGAGAACCTTTGTTGTGACATTCTGTAACTCAGCTGAGTCCCTGATTTTTCTCATCAAGGACATTATGGGACCACAGAATAAAGTGATTCAATGATGTATAGTGTGGCTAAGGAGAGTCACCTGGAGAGAAAATAATCTCTCAAGCTTTTACAGAAAGCAGCTTGGTCAAGCAATGGCCATGACTTCTCCAGATGGCTGATGTGGACAGATCTAAGAGAGGCTGTACTTGGTTCCAAGGTAAATCCTGAGGAGATCTAACTAACATTTTTAGATAGCAAAAGATTAATTTTTTATTTGTGCAGGTCTCACTTTAATTTGATTTCAACCATCCAGTAGAAAATGTAACTATGAGATGTAAAAAGTAATGTCTAATAGTATACTAAGCTGTGAATGTTCAAATCCCTAACAACTTCTGACAGCCACCTTCTGTACTCATAACTCACTACTGTTATGGACTATTGGACTATGTAGAGTTAAACTGCTAAATATCTTTGGACTTGTATCCAGAGTAAAAAGGTCTTCAAATGAGTTTCCAAACACAGCTTCTCCAACGGCATGATTCACACAACAAAACAAAAAGGAGAGATATGTTGGGAGACCCTGAAGCTGGGAATTGATCATATGTGGGAGGCCAGGAAGAGGCCTCATTGCCTAAAGCAGCCAAGCCACTTCAGTCTTGAGAAAAACATCCTGCCTGGACATTGTGGGGTATTAGTTGGTAGGCAACCTTGTGTCTTGTAACTTTGCAAAGCTATAAACACCGCTACTGTTGTTCAGGGATACTTTGCCAATCAGGCATGGTCCACCACCTGACCTCAGCTACTGTCTCTTGCCTTCTTTTCTAAATCCCCTCACCATTTTTTTCAGGGGACCACTGAGAGATCAACAAATCCCTGCAAGTGGTTATTGTGGCTACATCCATTTAATTCTTGGGGGCTGTGGCACACCGAGAGCCCCAATAACTCTCACCCTCAGTTACCGGAAGTGGGGAGGTGGGACCAAATCCCGACTTTCTCGTTGCAGGCTGATGGTTGTAAGCTCATGCTCTGTGGCTGCATAGAACTGGGATAGACCAGATGGCAAGGCTGCAGCTTGGGCCATCCATTGGCAGGTTCACAGGAATGGAACCACGCCAAATGGGTCAGCGAAAACCTGGTAATGTCTAGAAATGTTGGTGAAGCATTCACAATACTTCAACACAAGCAAGCAAAAAGTAAACAAAATAATGGAAGATGTGAAAAGTGTGATTAGTGAAGATGGCATCACCAATTCATCTCATGTATTCCTTTCCTATCTCAGAACAGGTCCATGCCTTTTCTCATCCCATGAGACATTTATAAAATTGACCATTTATAGCTCATGAGAAAAGACCAATAAGTTATAGTAGGTAAAACATTTACATGTGACATTCTTGACAAACTGTTACAAAAAAAGAGTAGTACCAACAAAAAGTTAAATCATTTGAAGATCCTTAAAACATAAAGCAGACATGGACTCACTTTTTTTTTTTTAACACAAAGCTTCATTTTGTTTCAATAGAATATTAAGCTGTAATTAACACCTATTTCCAGGGATCTAATCCTTTCAGCCGATTGAACACCTGTCTCTGCCTCCTCATTGTCCAATCTTTTACATTTGATGGAAAAAAGTATTATAAAAACAATAATACAGGGTTTAGGGAGATCGCTTGGCAGTCTAAGTACCTGCCTGGAAAGTGCTAGGATCCGAGTTTGATCCCAAGTACTGCATGCCAAGCTGGCCCTGGAAACCCAGGCAGTTGTGCCAGCCCTGAAACCAGGCATGTTGGCGCATGCCTGTAATACCAGCGCTGGGGAGGCTGACACAGGAGAATCACTATGAGTCCAAAATGCACAGTGAGACCATGTATTAAATAATAATAATAATAGATCACAGTACCATAAAATAAGCTATAAGCAGTCTCTAATCATAAAGAAGTTCTAGAAGATAAAGAATAAATAAGAGAAATCTGCTATCCACAGAACACGTATGGGAAGGAGGTGCTGCCAAGACCACAGCCAGTGCAAGGCAGAGCGGATTCCCACTCAGCAGAAGGGGCCCTGGGCTCCATTTAGGGCCCTCCTTATGTGGCAGCGTTGCCCATAGGATGGCGCCAGGGGCCCCAGTCTTTGTCTGGTAGGGCTCCTAAAAGATGGCAGCAGGGCACAGGGAGGTTCAGTAAGCAGCCCCAACTCTCCGGCAGCGAAGCGGAGCTCCGGCTCCCTCGTCCTAGTTCTCACTGTATGGGATGCTGCATCTCACAGATGCCCACATTCAGATTTTATTACATAAAGGGCCCTACAAATTTGAGCAACAATAAAAGCTAAAGTTGTGTATTGGTAATCAATGGAAGCCACACGTGCCCTGAATACATGTAAGCCAACGCACTCACTGAAGGCGGAAAGTGCAGAGAGAATTTCAAAGCATAGCTGTCTATCCAAGTGGCCGAGAGGGAAGACAGCAATGAGCCTGGGCATCAGCCTGGGTGGAAACGCGCGCAGGTCCAAGTGTTCTGGGGACTAACGTAGTAATCAGCATCAAATGCTCTAAAGCCTGCTTTTTAAAATTTTCACTTTTAGGAATTTAGTTCAAGGACATAACGGATGTGCGCTAAGAGAAGATAGTGAAAGTGCATGCCACACCAGGGAGGCAGTTGCGGGGCTCTCCTTGTTTCTTTCGCCCGCTGCCCAAGTGGTTCCCTGCACATCGGAAAAGACCGAGGCAGAGGCTGTGGGCCGCTTAAGCAGGGTAGAGGGCAGCCAGAAGGTACCGGAAGCACAGAGCGGAGGTGTGGTCAGCTTCCACTGCATGGCCCATAAAGTCCCACCAACCCTCTCAGCCTCTCTGGAGAACGCTATTTGCAAAGACCGAGCCTCAGAGTTGAACAGCGAGTTCCGCCGCAGCGCCGCCCGGACTGCAGCCTGCCGGGCCGGCCAGAGCGGAGGCGGCGGCCGCGCAGCTCACCTGGGCGCTGGCTTCGCCATGGGCTCCCGCCCTTTCCAGGTTCCCGGCGCTGGGCTGGATCCTCCCAGAAAGCAGAGAACCGCTTGGACGGAAATGCCACAGGTGAAACGGCGTGCCCGCGTGTGCTCCGGGGCCGGCTGCAGAGGAACGAAAAGCGAAAGCGCTCGCAGCCCCACCCCGAGAAGCAGGAAGCGGAGGCCGCGCTGCGCTCCCGACCTCCGGACGGGGGCGCGCTGCTGGGCGTCCGCGGAGCGAGCTGCGCCGGCTAGGAGCGCGGAGGGTCCGAGCAGGCCGTGGAGGGGGCAGGGCGCACGGGTGGGGACCAGCCCTGTGACACCAGAGCCTGGAATCCATCGCTCGTCCCTTCCCACTCGGCGGACCCGAGCAAGGAGGGGGCAGAAACTTGACGAGGCAAAGTCTAGCCGAGGAGGACCCTAGGACGCAGGTGAAAGGGAGGCGGCGGCAGCCTTTTCTGAAGCCCCATAAAGGCTCCTGTGTGCGTGCCTGTAGGGGCCTGAGTCCTACGTCTGGAGATCTATAGAACCTTGTTGAAGCTACTCTTTTTTTTTTTTTTTTTTAACCAAATGACCAAAATTTTTTTATTTGACTAAATTCTGACTCATGCATAAGCATGACAGTCTTCCCTGTTTATTAGACTTTGGCAATTAAAAAACAAAACAAACAGCCTTGTACA